CACCAAAAAAAGGAAAAAGAAAGAAACAAGGGATTGAAATGCTCCCATCCTAGGAAGCCTACTGGGTGCTGGAACTGAGCTGCTGTCTTTATCATACAATGTTTTTCATGATATAATCCAGACGTACTGTCTCCTGTCAACCCCGACTTCTTATTCGTGACCCTGACAGGTAGTACCTGATACTGTATATATAAATAATAAATGTAATAAATATTTTGGTCTGCCCATGTATCACAGAAACCACATGTATTTTTGGGAAAAGTACACACTGTTCACTCCTGCTTGTCTGTGCAGATAACAAAGGTTTCCTTTGGAAACACAGAATTTTGCAGCAACTTCGTACTCTTGTATAACATACAGAAAAATTAACAAATTCAATGAATCCAGAAAACATTTGAAACCACAACAGCAAAAACAAGACTTCCTGTGGGCAAAGATGTGCTGTTAACCACGGCAAAGTGTAAATGGTTTGAAATAGTGCCGTACCTTTTATTTAGGGAACCAGAGATGGAAAATCCAGTTATTCTCCATGAATGTCAAAAGGTTATGAAATATCTCATAAAGAGCGGGCAGCGGCGGGCAGATCATGAAGTCGGAGAGTGCTAATAGACCGCTGTGTGTCAGACTGATAATCCTGATTCATTTTCTATGTTTGGACTGTTCTGAGGATTTGAGCTTTGACAGAGATCAAACTCTGAGATCTTTGTTAAATGCAGATCTGCACAAACACACCACATCCATTCGAAACGCTATCACACCTCCTGATCCAGATTCAAGCCCAAAGCCAGTTTAAACAGTATTAATTCATCATTGTTAACGTTAGTTAATAAAAATAAAGTAATTAAATAACAGTATTACACAGCTTTCTGGAATACCTGATTGGTCAGTCACAATACATGGTATGTTATTCTCAGATAACAATCGGTAAAACTAATACACACAGGCCTTATTCATTCATTCATTCATTCATTCGTTTTCCTTTGGCTTAGCTCCTTATTCATCAGGGGTCACCACAGCGGAGTGAACCGCCAACTACTTTGGCATGTTTTATGCAGCGGATGCCTTTCCAGCCGCAACCCAGTACTAGGAAACACCCATACACTCTCACATTCACACACACTCATACACTACAGACAATTTAGTTAATCCAATTCACCAAAGCGCATGTGTTTGGACTGTGAGGGAAACCGGAGCACCCGGAAGAAACCCACGCCAACACTGAGGCCCCGTTTACACTAGTGCGTTTTAGTTTAAAAGGTTGTTTTAGATCAAAAACTATCCGCGTCCACACTAGCGTTTCACCTAGTGTTTCTGAACATATCTCCATCCACACTACGCCACCAAAAACGTATATCACGTGACCATTCGCACACTCTGGGCATGCGCATTCTAGTATACAGGAAGCATGTGTCTTGCTCGGCATTTGGTTATTGTTAGTAAATAAACGCCGGTTGAGCAATGAACACAATGACAAAGAAAGCAAGGGAGGTATTTTTTGTGGACAGACGACAAAGTCGAGTTGTTACTAAACGTAACAAGTGAATAACTGCACAATGGCGCCTAAAATAGACAATAGTGCAGATAACGCTCCCATTTCTGTGTCCGTGTTGTTGTTTACAGTGAAGGCTGGTCTGCTGTCGTCTGGTAGTGTTAAAGCCATGTGTTATAGTCATGTGATAGGGGCTTGATGAATAAGGGAAGGATACGCAATGACACAAAAGCCCCAATCAGGTAGCGAATCTCAGCAGCCCCGCCTCCATTTTCAGATGTCTCCGTTTTCCCCCATCCACACTGAGACGGATCAGCAGCGTTTCAGAATGAAAACGGCCTCTCCAGCGTTTCCAAAACACTCCGTTTTCTGTGCTCGAAAACTCCGGCGTAGTGTGGACTGATGGCATAACTGTAGCAAAACGTATGCGTTTTCAAACTAAAACGCATTAGTGTAAACGGGGCCTGAGAGAACATGCAAACTCCACACAGAAACAATAACTAGCCCAGCCAGGACTGATTCTGATCGGTCAGTCACAACACTATATGGCATGATATTTTCAGATAACTGGTAAAACTAATAACACACAGGCTCATCTGGGTACTTTAAATCATCTTGAATATATTCTATAAATAAAATAATCAATATACTTAGTTCTGTAGTTTGCTTTACACCATGTCACACAGTAGCTTTAGTGCACTGCTCAGTTTTGTTGTAATAAGTCAGAAATGTCAGGGAGGCCGCCTACTGCATTATCATTACAGCATTATTACCTTTCAGAACTGTCTTGAGTGTCTGCGCTTCCAAATAGCATCTCACGCCTCTAAAAGCCAAAGGCAATAGTCATTTATTATATAAGGGGAAAAAGCCCACAGTGATTTCTCCTACTGCAGGATATTACATTTTTCCTTTTAAAATTTGCCGCCAGTCTATCAGAAAGTAACGATTTAATTCTCTATGACAATATATGCAAATATGTCTGATGCCATATTGCAAGTTTTTTTTATCTGTTTATTAAACTTTTACAGATATAACTAAGTAATTTTACAGAGAAATTTAAATTTTATTCCCAGCCCTACCGTCTAAACAAATTGAAATTACATTTATCTAAGAGAGAAAAGAAGAAAAAAACTATAAATTAAAATAAGTTAAATAAATGAAATACAAAATTAACCCTTGTGTGGTGTTTGTATTTTGGTTACTCAGCCAGTGTTCATGGGTCTGGTAGAACGGCTAAAGTATTGGCTTTCCAAATTAACACTATCAAACAATTTTATGTTAAATTACTTAACAAATGTTTAGCTAATCCCATTACAAGCCATATGAAAAATAAACATGGTGAATTTTTCCCCTTTACCTTAGATCATATTGATGAATTAATGTGCTTCTCGTTTTTTTTTTTACAATTTTTTATTAATGTTATGAAAAAAAATAAAACCCACAGATTTTTTTTTTCTTATTGTTCCCACCATGGTCATGGACATCATCATTAGAAGTTTTTCTCTCTTCCACAATCAATTACAAGGACCTCACAGCAGATTATCTTTTGGCCATCTTGATCAGTTGTAATAAGGAACCACACTGGCAAAGTCTTATTTATAGTACTATAGCCCCTAATTCGCTGATGGGACACGGTATGAGAAAATAAAGCTTGGTTCCCGCAAAAGAGAGGGTAAAATGTGCGTGAATGTAAGAGCAGACAGTGTTGATAGTTAAATTTTCAACAATGTTGCAACCGTGTGCGGGAGAGGGAGGGGAAGAAAACAGCAGCACCAGAAAGGAGGAGGACAGAGAGTAGAAACACTGGACCTACGCTTTCAAGGGTGCTTTCACACCTGTGAATCGATTCAGTTGTTCCGAAACAGAGATTACAATTGTTACATTGTTGCTCTTTGCTTTTGGAGCGGTTCGCTTTCACACTGCAAAGTTTCTAATTGGACCAAAAGAGCTAAAACAAGTCACGTGTGAGTAAACTCTCCTCACATTGGTCAGAGTGTCAGGGTTTATTTTGCAGCGTCCCGCTCAGCTGATTGACAGGGTGCGCGCGCGACGTGTCGGAGGAGAGATGCGGTGGGGAGGGTGAGAAGGGTGCGCGACGATGCCTTTTTGAGGACCGGGAGGGAGACGCGAGAGATCATCACTCATTTGCGGGCATCCGGAGACTTGCGAAACTTCCCGACATACTCATAATTCTCTCTTCATATAGCCGTAAGCCTATTACATATCCATAAAACACTGTGATATAACCGCGCTCGGATCGGATCACTTTCTAACTGCAATCGAACCGATCCAGGGTTCGTTTCAATCGAGCCGAGACCACCTCATTCAAGCGATCTCGGAGCGATTACTTTGGCGCAGAACAGAGCGTGATTGCCCTGTTCACATATGCCAAACGAACCGCGCTAACTGGGCAAACGAGATACGTTCCGAAACAAAAGTGTAGGTGTGAAAGCACCCCAAGACTTTTATTAGACCTGGGTCTAGTGGACCCGAACACCTTGTATGTAATGTGTGGGGGGAGGTACATTATGTGGTCGTTGCAAATTTGTTCGTATTTATTTTCTTTCCAGAAAATAAGCCAAAGCCAATGAATTTCAGGTTGAAAAAATAATTAATTGTTTAATAAAAAAAAAAAACTGAAAACGGGTCTCACAGACCCAAACCAAACCAAACCAAAACTGTACAGATTACACATATACCTTGATAACCCAATGTTGCAAAGATGAATCCTCGGGTATTTATACAAAGTACTTAATTACATTTGCTTTGCAATTGAAAGACCCTAAGATTTAAAAAATTCTAAATGGTCCCATGTTTCAGAAAAAGTCCTAGTATTGCCATTTATTTTAAGCCAGATTTTTTTTCAAATAGATGAAGTTCGTTTCATTTTGCAACCAGTTGTCAAAACTACGGATATCTACAGAGGCGGAGAGAGCTCAACGCGCTGCAATTAAAGAAAGCACATGCAATTACAAAAAGCACCAGCAAGTAAAGAAACGATCTTCATCAATTTGAAAGTGTTGCAAATTGTTCACAACACAAACAACTGAAGAAACACTTGCAAATATCCATGTAACACAACGCAAATGTTTCAAGGGGACCCAAAAACATGACTGACCCTGCTGAGATATGGATGTGTTATGTTGTGTAATCAGGATATTAAAATAAATGAAAAACAACTCACCTTTCAAGGACCCCCAATCATATCTCAGCAGGGTCATGTTTTTGGGTACCCTTGAAACATTTTTGTACTTCGTCACAGAACTGTGACTCTGTGAACTGTAAACAACACCAGTCACTCAGTAGTCTAGTAGTAATGTTATAGAGGTTTTAATGTATTGATAAAAAGCCTTTACCTTGGCAGTGCAGTGGCTGGTATTTAAATATTTCTGTCGTGTCATGTTTGGTGCAAACAAACAAATTGCTTGTCGCTGGAATCTTGTCACATCGTGTGGTTGTTAGGACATGGTGTTACTATTCATTGATAATCATCACGTTCTGTATTCAACAGGTACATGGCTATCGTTCACCCGCTGAAGCCCCGTATGAAGTATCAGACAGCATACTGGCTTATATTTGGGGTCTGGATAATCCCGGTTCTCATCGCCGTACCGTCTGCATACTTCGCCACAGAGCACGAGTACCCGCACAGCACACTCCACCACGACAAGAAGATCTTCTGCGCCCAGATCTGGTCTGCAGATCAGCAGCTCATGTACCGCTCCTACTTCCTCTTCATCTTCATCGTGGAGTTTCTGGGGCCCGTGGCCACCATGTCGGTCTGTTACGCGCGGATTTCAAAGGAGCTTTGGTTTAAGAATGTTCCCGGATATCCAACGGAGCAACTTCGGAAGCGTCTACGACGGCGGCGCAGAACAGTCGTGGCACTAATCGCGGTTTTGGTGGCGTACGTGCTGTGCTGGGCGCCGTATTACAGTTTCACATTGCTACGAGATTTTTACCCGGCGCTGATCACGCGAGGGCGGAATTCTCTGGTCGTTTTTTACATCATCGAATGCATCGCTATGAGCAACGGTGTCATTAATACTCTGTGCTTTGTGAGCGTTAGGAATAATGCAGTGAAGTGGCTCAGAGCGGTTAAATTCGCTAAATGGCGCTCGCTGACTAGAGTTATTGTCGGAAAGATGGCGGAAGATGACATTAGGACTTCCTCGTTGAGAGTGACTGAGGATGTGGAATGTACACGAATCAAATAAGAAAATAATAATCTTTCATGAGGACCAAAATATATTGACTTTGGTAGGATCTGTGAATTTATGAGTCAAAATGACTGATTGCAAAAGTTTTCAGATCGTTCAGAACATTACTGAAGAAAACTGATGCGTTTCAGCCAACAGTGGTGTTGTGGTTTTGAGTCTTTTTGATTTTGAGGCTTAATTTAGCCACAAATTTCTCTCTGTGTTTCAGCAAATGTAATGATTTTTGGGGACAAATCTTATTTCGACCCATACTTTGGAAGAATGTAAAAAAAAAAAAAAAAAACATTCGACAATACACTTGTATCAAACGGACAACCCTTTCGTTATGTTCGTGGCTGTTTTTGTCCCATTGACTTCCAATATAATGGCATTTTTTGATTGCAAAGCCATGACACATATAATCATGCATTCTTGATTGTTGCTGGTTTTCCCTGTTGGGAAGAGGTAAAACTTTTCATTTTAACTGTTGAAAACCAGTCGCAGTGCAAAAAAGCTTAGTTTCTGCCTTCTATATTGAGTATAGTGTGTGTGTGAGAGAGAGAAAAAGAGATGTCAATAGATCTCCATCTAAGGCCTTGTGTACACTAATATGTTTTAGTTTTAAAACAGTGTTTTGTTGAGGTTTGGGGGGGGGGGGGGGTGCGCAAGACGTATCTGAAGAGTGATGGGGGTGAGTTGCGTGCTGAAGAGCGGTGGGGTTAAGTTGTGCCCGACATACCTAAAAAGCTGGGAGGCATGGGGTGGAGACTATTTAAGGATCGGGCGGGAGACACGTGATTTCTGGAAGATTATCTTTTGTTTGCGGGCATCCGGGAGTCTCTATGGATTTGCGAGAGACTCCCGGAAACTTACGGAAGACTTGGGATGTCTGCCTGACCACACACACTCTGGCATTCGCTGCAGCGTATGCGCACGTCTGAGCTCCAGGCAGTCAGTGGGTGCTTTGAGCACACATCCCCAGATCTGAGCAGCGCATGTCAGATAATTCATCAAGGATATACCGCTGGATCTCATCACACTCTATTTGTTAAACATGATATTTAATTCATCTAGTCTCTATCTAATGACTCTTTGGTCTTTTGGATCTGTTACTTGTTTTCAGGTAACCTGTTTTGGCTGAGCGCAAAGATAAGTTAATATATTAAATCATGTAACCACGTACACTGATTCTGCACATTTTATCGATTGCTTCCCTTTATTTTCTATATTATATAAACTTATTGTACATTATACTTTTATAATGGCCATTATTGATTATTAAAACTGATATTCAGCAGATAATAATAATAATAAATAAATGCAGTAATGTTATAGGCACCGTTTTGTTATAAATAAGCATACAGTGAAGATGACGATCATATAAATGTGTAACTACATGACGCCTCAACATTTTTGGTGTCTGTTAAGTTGTTAATATGCCTATTATCATGTAAAATTATAATAGGCAGTATTTAATATTGAAAAAACGCCCCAATCTGAAAACGCTTCCATTTTCAGATGTCTCCGTTTACCCGCATCCACACTGACACAGAGCAGCAGCGTTTTAAAACCAAAAAGTGTTTTCAAAACGCTTCGTTTTCAGGGCTCGAAAACTCCAGGGTAGTGTGGACGCAAGGTATAACTGTGGCAAAACTTATGCGTTTCAAAACTAAAACGTATTAGTGGAAACAGGGCCTAAAGGATTAATCCTGCCAACTGATGATCAACAGAAAAAGTACACATTTTACCTCTTCCCAACAAGAACGCTTGATTATATGCTGTCATGGCTTTGCAATCCAAAAATGTCATTATAATAGAAGTCATTGGGGTGAAAACAGCTCTGAATATAACGAAATGGTAGACAATTTGAACTACCAAGGGTTAAAAATGAAGAGGGACTGAGCTGGCTAATGAGCAACATGAAAGCAAGTGAGATTCATACATTTATAATAAATCCAATGTAGTGATAATTTCCCAGCTGAACAAGAAATGCACTTCTTCAAACACTCTTTATACACCTGACATCAACATTTTTTTGTGTGTGATCGCAACAAAGGTTGTGTGATCAGTGTTGAATTGCTGGAGGCAGCCAGGATTTTACCCAACAGATTTTAGCAAATGTGCCAGATGAAAAATCTAGTTATAAATTCTCTTTCAGACTAATGCTAAAAACAACAAATGCTAATGTTTAATCGTGCCTCTACCTACATTTCCCGCAAAATACATTTCACTGATGTTTCCAACTAAAAAATACACTAATATAAACACTAAATTTTAACACCAGCTTTTATTCTCACAAATTCAATTGAATTCAATTCACCTTTATTTCTATAGCGCTTTTACCATGTAGATTGTGTCAACTGCGTCAGTCCAGTTTTCAGAGCTGAGGTTCAGTTTAGTTCAGTTCAGTGTGGTTTAAGTTTCACTGCTAAAAGTCCAAACACTGAAGAGCAAATCCATGGATGAGCAGCTCAAATCATGATTACAGGGGCAGATGATCAATTAATGAAGGAATTTTGAATGCATTTCAACTGCAGAGTACAGCGCTATCAACTTAAAAAAAAACTTTTACCATAAATCATTTGGGGGGCTTCTGAAAAGAAGTCTCGAGCCCAAAATATTCCGACTGCTGTACACGAAGAATAAGGTCAATGCTCTGAAAGGCTTGGCATTTTAATGTATGCATAAAAAAATGATGTTGCTTTGGGCTTGATGTTGAGCACTCAGGTATAAGTCCAAGAAACACCCTGAAGAATTATAAGCGATGTAAAAAAAAAGGTATGGTTGCTTCAACAAATACAGTCATATCTCATTTGCGCTCGTTTACGCTGTCAGTTCGTTTTAACATATGTGGTGTCTCATTTATTAAATAGTGCTAATAACAGTCATTTCTAAACTTCACCCAACATACTGTAATGAAGCATTCCTAGATTTACTGAATAAAACTTTTTGTGATTGTAGTGTGACTCACTAAACATTTCACTTAAAGGTGCAGTATGTAAGTTTGACACCCAGTGTTTGAACTAGGTATTGCACTCCTGGTTCAAAACACAATCAAGAGCAGGTTGCCAGATTGACGATGTACATTTAATAATGTTAAAGAGGCCTAATATGTATTAATTAGATTATAAACCTTGCCATTTTGTTAGAGTGCAGTGAGTGCACTATTCTGTGCTTCTGAATGGCTGTATTTAAATTTCTGTCGTGCTGCGTCTGGTGCAAACAGGCAGATTATCACTGCAAATCTCGTCACATAGCATGTTGTTTGGACACGTAATGTTTATGTTCATAATATTTATATTATTTACTAATAATAACTGTCATTATTAGCGGTTGAAACGGGAACAAGAGGTGTAGGATCCAAATGCAGTCTTTATTAAGAGATTGTGCAGCAACAGAAAAACAAGGTGTCCGACGTTCAAAAAATAACAAAGCAACAAATAAACAACTAAACAAGAAACTACGACAGAAATCAGGATCAGTAACAAGGCTAAGGAAATAACAAACTGGCTATACAAGACTTACTAGATACTGAAGACAGGAAAGACAAACGACGCAGTAATAAACAATGGGTGAATGGGTGTATAAATAGTCCAGGAAATCAACAGGAAACGGGAACAGCTGTGAATGGCCAATCAGTGTAAGTGATACCGGGTGTGTTGCACGTGGAATGTATGGACTTGTAGTTCTTTCACCACTGTAGTTCGCTGGGAGTCACTGGCGAACTACAGTGTCATCTGGTGGACACAGACAGTCATGACAAATAACCACCTCATGTAGAACTCTGAATCTGCATCTCATTTCAAGGGTGTTACTGTCAGGATGCTCAAATATAATTGGAAAAACAAAGACAGCCACTCCGGCATGTCCGTTCCGGCTTGAAATTGATATTTTCAAAGCAGAATATCTGACTATTGTTTTTCAGATACACAAGAATGTACATTTAGCATGTTTCCTAAATATCTGCAAACATATTACATATTTTTATGCGTTAGAAGAGTCAAAAATGTAAATACAGCAACTTTAAAACACATACAAAATAAAATATAAACATAATTATGAAGAAATGCCACCACATGAACATTATACGACTATAAAAGGTATTTTGCTCTTCCCTGAAAAAAGCATTTATGATTAGAAACAGTTTACAGCTGGTATTCAACCTTAAAAGCGTGCTTTTATTAAACCCCATGTTCTGTTAGTTGCTTTTGATTACCCAAAAACATTGAAAATGAGGCCAAAATGTCCTGTTTTCCCCAAACGTAATCTCAATGAAAGCAGATTTCCAAATATGTGTCCACAAGTATAACAACATAATTAGAGGCGATGGATTTGTCCTCATTTTGTTTTATGATCAGTGTACATACAACTGTATATTTGGGTTCTTTGAATTATTTTTCATTTCCCAAACACTGTAATGCAAGTCAGTCACATCTGGAGCTTGGAATAACATTAAAAGCTAAAACGTATCTGTAATAGCATCTGCCCACCGGGTTTTCTGTGGATCATTTTAAATGGTTTTGACTTGGAAATCAAGTTAGCAATTTTCTCCTTTTCCTAGTTTACAATTCATATGCTCACAGCTTTTGGGTACAAGATGCACTTTTGTTTTATATTCAAAAGAAGTTTTTGTTTCCATACACATGCCATCCCTTTTTTTAACCACGTTCTGGACTTTCCGAGTTGGTTTAATACATTGAACAAATACAGAAACATGAGCAGGCGCCTTGGGAGATATAAAAGTGAACCAATCGCATTATAACAAGTCAAGCGCAGCAAAAAAGAAGAATAAAACTTTATTAGAAGAACCAGGAGTCCCCTTGCACATCATTAACAAGGAATTATCAGTGTGTGACTCAATCTGAAAAACACATTCGCTTTGTTTCCAGTCAGCTCCCCGTGTAGGCAGCGTTAAAATCCCTGTGTAATTTCAATGGACACTTATTTTTTTGGAGTTGTTAATGGTAAATGAGTTATCTATGCACATCATGACCTTTTTACGTGTTCTGATAATCTTTAATCAAAATAATTTTGCCTCATAGGCGAAGCAGTGGCGCTGTAGGTAGTGCTGTCGCCTCGGAGCAAGAAGGTCGCTGGTTCGAGCCTCGGCTGGGTCAGTTGGCGTTTCTGTGTGGAGTTTGCATGTTCTCCCTGCGTTTGTGTGGGTTTCCTCCCGGTGCTCCGGTTTCCCCAACAGTCCAAAGACATGCGGTACAAGTGAATAGGGTAGGATAAATTGTCTGTAGTGAGTGTGTGTGTGTTTCCCAGAGATGGGTTGTGGCTGGAAGGGCATCCACTGGGTAAAAATGTGCTGGATAAGTTGGTGGTTCACTCCGCTGTGGCGACCCTGGATTAATAAAGGGACTAAGCTGACAAGAAAATGAATGAATGAATTTGCCTCATATTGTCACTCCATGTGTCACTCATGAAATCCATCTATGCACTGTAAAACGTTAGACGATGTATGTTTTTATGTTACTTTAACTTAATTTAAAGTTAATCAGGTACAACTTTATTTTTTAAGTTAAACTAATTTAACTTGATATGTGCTTTATTGAAGTTAACATGAGTTGTAAAGTTAAATTGGTTCAACTTAAAAATTTAAGTGAGCAACATTTTTTTTTTACAGTGTAGCAA